GTGTTTTCCTTCCCAGGGAGTAAGTGCCCTTCACAATGTTATTGTCACAATGGAAGTTTCTTTAATGTAAACAGAAGCAACAATACTTCTAAAGCTGAGAAACAAGTTAGCTGAAGGACCAAAATTAAACCTCCCACCCCTGAGACACCAGAGCTGCTGACCAAGTACCCACATGGGACCATTTCTATTATTTGTAGAGACAGCTCAGAGCCTAAGAATCATAACATGCTCGTGTCCCAGGTCCAAACATCTGATTCAGGCAGAGCAGGAGCAAAGCTGTGGCTTTGGACTTCAACTATCACTAGAAGCTCACTTCCAAACTCTCCCACTCCTTTTTTTCCTCACCCCAAACCATCAGGGCTGCTCGAGCAGCCCAACCACATCCAGCTCCTTCCCAAAATCAGGCAGCATCTCCCAAGGCACGAGCTATTCATTCCAGCAGCACCAGTATTGCTGTCAGAGAACACAGATCATCTCGCTGGAAAACTCAGGGGGTTGTGCCAGGCTGGTTCTCCAACATCCGGATAATGGGTTTACAATCTCAGTGTTAAATATTTAAGATACACACCGTACTGAGAAACACACACAGCAGCCACTTCCACCTCAGATCCAGCTACTCAAGAGCTTATTCCCACGCAGAGCTGTCCTTTCCTCTTTTTCAGCTCTCCATGACCTCTTCCTACCTCACTCCAGAAGGGCAGAAGATCATTGTCACTCTGCTTATGCTTTCATTTACACGAATCCAGGCACTGAAATCTTTCCCACAGTTCCAGCTGTAGGAATGTTTTGAAGCAGGGCTAGGTGAGCTGTAAGACCATTTATAGGTGAAAACACCTGGATACAAGATGGGTTTTTATTCCTTTTCCACAAATATGCTTGCAAGGGATCAATTCCTTTTATCCTTTTTTTCAAAAGGGTCCAAAATGTGAAAAGGATTTTGGTGAAATGGTGTTTATGCATGCAGGGTTTGGGAGGAAGCTCCTACCTGGTCTCTGTGTCACAGTAGCAGTCCCAGTCCTGACACAGGATCACATTATATACAGAACTGTGCAAATTGGAAATTACTTTGGTCAGTCTTTTGTTTCTGCATTTAGCAACCCTGAAATCACTACAACTTACTTAAAACAAACCAAAAGCAGTAGAAAGGGACAATATCCTCTGAACCTCATGTGAGAAACCAATCCTGTCAGAGCCAGACATGGTGGGCCCTGGGGAAGCCATGCATGTCCTCAGGGACAGAGGCTAAATACTCAGCAGATAAGAAGTGTCCATACAAAAGAAATCACAGAGGTTGTCCATTAAGGCTTTTTCTCCCTCGAATCATGCACTGCCCAACACAATCATGTACTGCCCTTGCACTTCTGCAGCTTGGATGCTGTGCTGCATCTCTAGTCAATGCACACGAGAAATTTGAGGTATTAATTGGACTAAGACCAAGCATCTCTTCAGTGGCAGCTATCTGCTACAAACCCACCTGAAGGCTGTCCCCTGAGCTCCTGTCCCCCTCCCAGCCTCACCCTTGTCCCTGCAATGCTTCTGTGCCACGTCAGTGTTCAGTGTCCAATACTGAGCACAGAGCAGGCACAGCCTCAGCCTGGGCTCTCATCCCTAGCCAGGAGGGAACAGAAAGAAGCTGTGTTCCCCAAATTGTGCCACAACTGGATTTCCTTCCTCCAGCTGCTGATTTGCAGCCTTTCCCACCCTCAAGCCTTTCTCTTCCCATCCCAGTTGCACTCACTGAGATGTTTCACAGTTCAGAGGGTTACTCCAGCCCCGAGGAGCCTGAGCTGCAGCTTCCCTGTGTCCATGCAATCCAAACTCCAGTCAGGAACTTTCCCAGCATCTTTGTACCTTCCATCCCTTCAAACCTGTGGCAGAACAAGAGCCTTCTCCTGGAGGAGATCCTCAGCTTGCATTTGGAAATAAGGTTTGCAGGTAATGTTACTACCATGTGCCAACAGCATCCTCAGCATATTCCTTCCCCAGGGCAGCCAGCCATCAGCTTGCTCCATGTAGCAGCCCAGAATTTGCTCCAAAGCCACTGACAGATGTGTTTGTGGGCTGCTGTTGGAGGCATGATTGCCTTAGGAAAGGCCCTAAGATCTTCTTGAAACTTCCTTCCTGTTCTGCTTGTGGTTGGCCTGAAAAAACAGTAATGCATGAAAAAAAGCAAACAAAACATATTAAATTATCCTAGGGAGAATATTCAGGAGAATAAACCTGTTCAGCATAAGAGCTTTACACAAGTCATTCTGTTCTCATTGCAGAGCATAGTGGACAAGACTCAACTTTAAAGTGCCATTAAAATGAAAAACGCTTTTGCAGGCAGAGGGGAATGGCAAGAGTCACTGATCAGGCCAATGCTCAAACAGGGCACCAAGGCACAGATCCCAACAGATAGACATGGGACAGGGCACTGAAAGAAATGAATAATATCAAGTAAATATCTGGGGTTTTTTTTCTAATTTTATATATATATATATATGTATGCAGATATGAATCAATAATTTGAGCAGATGGAAGTCCTTGGCAGCTCAGCTCCACCACATTTGCAGAGCAGGCAATATGCTCAGGGCAGGGATTGTTCCCCCTTTACTTTACACCTGGAGCAGCAGCTTTCTTTTCTGGGTTAGCTCAGGAGAGGAAAAACCAGATGAACCCTCAGCTACTGATTTGAGTTTGGCCCAGCGATCGGAATTGAAGCAGCCCTTTGCTGGCCGCCACTCCAGCCACTCCCTGCACAACAGGACTGGGATTTTCATGCTCTGCTGGAGCAGCCTGGGATGTTCCTGTGCCAGTCCCAGCACCAGCCACTTGATGGCCATCCTGCTCTGCAGGAGAGGGACACCGGGGACACAGCAGGGGCTGGGGACCTGCCAGGGACCCCTGAGCTGACCAGCCGGGAGCAGAGGGGTGTCCTGACACCCCCGAGCAGCTGCTATGAACGAGGGATTTGAGATCACATAAAAAATCACTAGAAAGGGTATGAGCTAAAGTCAGATTTAATACTAAGTGACAACGCATGATAACTCTACTACTTACAGGGCAGCTGAGGCACAGTAAGGGAAAACAATCAACAAGAACAGAGGAGATGAAGGCCTGGAAAGCTGGAGACTCTCCATCCAAGAAAAAAAGGATAAAAGGATAAAAAATGCGTTGCAAAGTAGCATGAAGAGTGAGAAATCAATAACCGGTAGAGGATAGAATGCTAATTAATTAAGTGAATTAAAACCAATGAACGTTAATTTCTTTGCTTGCTAAAAATAAGTGGAAAAGTTCCGTATTGGCATCAGTGTGGAGGCCAGAATTTGTCAGCCACCTCTGTTGGCCAAAAATAAAGCAATACCTTATTCTCTAACACTCTAAGACAGTGTTAGAGGGAGTCTTTAGCCCGATGATTTTGGAGGATTTTGGTACCAGCAGCACTGGTGAAAAGACCCCAAACTCCGCAGCCTGCACACGTTCTGCTCCCCTAAACAAAACCAGGGCAGGGGCACAGGGTTCCTCCTCCAGGTGCCCCCGCTGCCCATTCCTTTTCACTCTTCAAACCCTCTGCTATTTTTCGCAGTGCCTGGGGATGGCATCACCTCCTCATGGTTCGGGATGTGTGCTGAGGAGCTGGAGGCTTTTCCCCAGAGCGTGTGGATGAGGCTTGTTTTGGTGGAAAACAAAGAGGTGCCACATTTAAAACAGAGTGCTTCACTCATTTCTGGCTTCAAGCCCAGGGCTGAGCATTCCTTCATGATTCCATACCTAGTGCTGCTGCCAGAGACCATTTGGGGTCCCACAGCTGCACCCCAGGACTCAGTGGGGCATTTTGGAATACATGGAATGGAATTGGACACTGTGGGGCTCTGCAGATACAATTCAAGGTCGACAGGAACATTTTTGGGTACCAGGCATGCAATTTTTATCCCTCTGTCCAAAACCTGGGGCCCTGTGCCTGCAATCAGGGGCAAGTGGGGCATTTTGGGATGGCAGGGGTGTGAGGAGGAAGAATCCCACTGCCTGTGGGACAGGCCAAGAAGGTCTGCTCAGCACACTCAGGGCACTACGCATCTGAAGGATACCATGGGCTTGGATGTGTTTTTCCACCTTTATTAATGCACAGGAAGCTGCAGCTCTGCTGAGCTCACCGGCACCAGCAGCACAGCATTTGTAGAATGACCCACCATCTTCTCTGCACCCTTGGAGCTCTCAGGATGGAGCCCGTGTGGGCTGCCAGGGTACTGATGGAGATATCCCTGTCTGTCTCCAAGGGCTGAAGGGCTGTGACCAAAAGAAGCAGAGCCAAGATGAAGCCACATGTCTGCAGAGCCCCCCAGATTCCCCACACACCACTCACCACTGAGGATATGAGCCTGAGTCTCCAAATCCTGGTCCCCCATGTGCCTCGTGGCGCTCCCTGGGCACAGAGCTCCATCAGTCCCTGCTCCCAGCGTGCTCCCAGTGACCCCAGCCCTGCCACCCTCCCCTTGTGCAGGGCTGGCCCAGGGGGCCACCAGCAGCCATGGGGAGTGGGACTGGGCAAGGCAGCCAAGCCCAGCTTGTGGCAGGGGGCAGAGGGAGGCTGAGGCTCTGCACGGGGTGGTTGGGTTGCTGCCAGTGCAGTGCAGGGACGTGGCCGGGCTGGCCCCAAAGGGGCCCTGGGCTGTGACTCACCGAGGAACCTGACAGCTGCCAGGCGCACGGAGGACTGAGGGTCCCTCAGGTAGGGCAGGCTCTGTTCCATGTACTCTTCAGCCCTGCTCCTCTTCTTCATCAGCTGCAGAGATCACCAGGGATGTCTCCAGGCTTGTCACAGAGCCCCCCATCCGGCTGGAGCAGCCCCTCCTGCCAGCACCCCTCATTGCTGAGCCCTCCCTCCAGCTGGATACAGCAAGGGGAGAGGGGGGAGAGGAGCCCCTGGGGCTCTGTTCTCAAGGACAGGAACAGCCTGAGGCAAGCAGCCTCTGCTCTCCTGGGCTCTCTTGGGGACAGACACAGGGCAGGAACAGCCCTCACCCAGCCTGGGCCCTGTGGCTTGTCCTTACCAAGCATTCTCCAAGCTCCCACAGCCTCTCTTTCTGCAGCAGGTGCTTGAGCTCCTTCCATTTGAGAAGCTCTGCAGCAGCAAAAAGGGCTTCCCCAGAAGCCTGCAGAACAGCATTAGCTCAGAGGTGGCACCAGGGCCTGGGGAAAGAGACCTCTTGGCTTTATTCCTGCAGTGATCCCACCCTTAGGAAGCTGTGACTTGTCCTAGCCCAAATGTCTTGGAGTCTCTTGGGGACAGCCCTGGGTGACTGACTGAGGCTTGAAGCCCTGGCCCCCAAAACTTGTGGGGAAGCTGAGAAACCTCTGGGCTTCTAAAGCACACGTGTTCAGACCTCAGGTGCTGCCTCAGTGGCCACGGGCTGCTGCCAAGCCCTGCTGGAACAGGCAGGACAGGTGCTGAAAATGGCCGAGCCACCCTGTGTACCCCTGCTTGTGCTGGTTCCACAGAGACCCTTCCCAGGGGAGGGGAGCCCTGCCCAATGTGAGCAGCCCATGCCCCAATGCCCAGAATCCCTGGGAGGTGTCAGTCCCCCCCATACCAGTGCTCAGCCTTCAAATCCACACCTTGGCCACGCTGGGGAGCTGGTCGTTCATTCGGAAGAGGAGCGGGATCAGTGCACTCTGTATCTCCCTCCTCATCTTCTTCTCATCCCTGCTCACCACGGCCCTCAGCAGGTCTCTGAGGAGCTGGAGGGAGAGCTCTCGCAGCTGCCCACACTCCTGCTGGGAAGGAGGGAAGGTGAGCTTTGGAAACAGGTCAGATTCCAGAGCGGGCACAGGCAGCGTTGGGCTGCAAAGGCAGAATCCATTCCAGGAGGGCTGGGCCTGCTCCCAGAGCTGCTGGCAGGGGCAGTGCCTGTCTGTGGGGCTCAGGCTCCCACATCAGCCTCACCGAGTCAGAGAGGGGCAGGATCTTCCCCACCAGTGCCACAGCCATGGAGCTGGCCTTTGACTTTTTCAGCTGACCCAGGACATTTTGGAAGACCACAACGGTCTTCAGCTTCTCATCTTCGCTGCCAACTTCCAGTATCTTCAGCATGCTTGGCAGGAAGGCTTCAATTTTTCTTGCCTTTATGAAGAAGAGAGTTTCCATTTTCTGAAAAGGCGATGTCTGGAGACCTCCCAGGGCAGCCACCCCAGGCCCCAGCATGGCAGTGAGGGTTTTTGGAGCAGTCACTCCACATCCTGATTCCCAGCCCAGGCCAAGCCTTGCACTCAGCCCCAGGCCCTGGATTTGCCCCAATACCACCCTGCTCACCATCTCAGCTCTCTCTGACAGCTCAACGAGGACTTCCAGGGTCAGGAAGGCCATCACCACATTGGGATGTCTTTGATCCCTCCAGACATTGGGCTTGTCACCCAACTCCTCCAAGTCAATCTGCCCCGAGGATGGCTGGAGGAACAACCACAGCCATGAGGTGCTGGCAGAGGGCTCATGGAAAAGGGTCAGGGCCTTTTCTGGGAACTCACAGCTCTGTGAGAGATGAGGCTGTCTTCTATTGGAGGGTTGCACCACTGGTTCTGGAGCAAGATGGCAAACTCTGTTAGGACCCTGTCCAGAATCTCAGGCATGGAGGACAGAGTGTCACACAGCTCCTGCACATCACTGGAAGTCAGGGGGCTGCCTCAGCCACGGTGCCATGGCCAGGACCAGCCCCAGGAGCAGAGCCCAGGCTGGGGGTCCCCAGGGGCCCTGCAGGAGGCAGGACAGGGCTGAGGGGGAGTTCTCTGCAGGGCTGGGAGCACCGAGCTGGCTCTGGGCTGGCTTGGCTGGCTTTGGCTGCTGTGAGTCCGGCCAATGTGCCAGAGAGCTGGAAAAGTTTGTGGGATGGAGAGCCTGGCTCCATGGGGTGTCCTGCAGCATTCCTTGGATCTGGCAGCCGCAGAGTCTCAGGGTCCCTCTCCCCACATGGAGCAAGCCCTTCAGATTGTCAGGGTCTGTACCTGTCTCCTTGAAAAGCCATCTCACACAGGCTGATGACCACTTCTGAGCCATACTCGTCAGTCATCAGGAGAAACAGTGACTCCACTTTATTACAGCCTGACTCTGTGGTGATGTATGGCAGGTTTTCTAGAATGCAGCTCACTATCTTTGGCACCTGGAGAGGATACAGGTGAGGATAGCACTGCAACTGGAGTGCAGCCATGTCTTCATCTGCCCTTCCTTCCCATTCCTCTCTGCCACCTTCAGACGGCTTCATGTGCCCAAGTCAGCTGGATTTGAGAGGAAGGGATGGAAGGAGAAACAAGGCCTGACAGGGCTGAAGATCAGGGCAATGCAGCCCCAGGACACTTACATCTGTCAGCCAGAAGTCCGGGTCTTCCATGGCCACATCCAGCATGCTGCTGGGCACCTGCTTGTCAAGGATGCTGGCATCTCTCATTGCCTCGATGGCCTCGAGGATGACATCTGTCCTCTCTCTAGGGCAGAGGTATTTTCCAAAGGCCTGCAGCAGGAAGGAAGGAAGACATGTGCCACTGAGTGCCCTGATGGTGCTGCTTGGCTGGGCAGGGGCTCCTGGCAGTGCTGGCAGCAGACCCTACAGGAAAGCTGGCAGCAGTGCCTGCAATCCCTGTGTGGGAGAGGGTCCTCCACATCGGGGAGGGGGGCTCATGGCTGGCTCTACAGAGAACTAGGGGTTTGTTGGGGCCAGGAGGGCTGGAGCTCCTGCTGGGGTTGCAGCCCATGTGTTGTCCCTGCTCAGGGATGGCAGGAACCTTCTTGCCAGGGCAGTGAAGCTTCACTAGCCCCACTGATTCTGGGTCCCTTTGCTCACACAAGTGCCCTGTTGATGCCATGGACAAGAATCCCAGCAAAGAGGGGATCATTACCTGGGTACAGTGTCCAGTACTCAGGGAACACAGCGAGGAGGTGGTCACAGCTTCCCAAGTGAATTGGTCTGACCCATCCCTTGGCCTTTCCTTGTCTAAACAGCAGGGCAAACACACAAGAGTCAGTAAGAGACAGAGCTGCTTTGCCAGCAAGGTCATCAAAGCACCCTGAGATCTGCTTGCAAGACAGCAGGACAGAATCAGTCAAAATTTCTGAAGGGCATCAGGAAGAGCTTCTTGCTATAGGCAAGAAGCACCAGCCAGGGTGGTGGACCTGCTCTTATCTAACGGGGAGGACTCAGCTTTGGGACCCGGGAGTCAATTGGAGCTTTAGCTGGAGGGGGGGTCACAAACCAGCAGGGTTCAATGTCCTGAAAGGAAGAGGGGAAGGAGAGCAGTGACAAACAGATCCTGGACTTGAGGTGAGCACTCAGCTTCTGCAGCAAAGTGACAGCTGGGATGCTGTGGGAAGCAGCTGGGGAGGGGCAAAGGAGGTCAGGAAGCAGACCTGTCAAGAGAAGTCTGTGTGCACAGGGTTGAAGCCACAGCTGCTCTTGCATTTTTACTTACAGAGGAATTCAGCGAGGGAAAAAAGAGCATGGAAAGCTGTATAGCTCGCTTGTTCATTGGAATATCGGAAAAGCATGAGACGTCCCACCAGCCTTCCCATGCCTGGGACTGAGATGTCTTCAGGGCAGATAGGTCCAGAACTGTCTCTCCCAAAGTTGACAGAGGCCTGGTTGAGGGAGGCATGAGAAGAAAGGCTAAGAGGAGGAAGTTGGTGCCAAACACCTGTACTCATGAGTGTGCCCAGGGCTGGATTCCCAGTGAATCTGGGCTTGGCAGAGCTCTATGGCCCCGTCTCTTGGAGCAACCAGCTGAGCAGCAGCCCTGCCAATGGAGAGTGGCAGGGTGGGGGACATGGCCTGGCTGGAGGGTGCCTGGTCATTACCTTCAGAGTGGAATAGCTGGACAGCAAATTGGTCAGGACACCAATCCTCCCCACAGCCCTGTCCCGCACAACTTCTCTCTCGGATCTGGTGAAGTCCAGCAGCATCTGGGGCAAGAGAAGCCACCGGTGAGCACCAAGAGCAAACACAGCTCTGCTCCTGGGCCAGACTTGTACCATCCCTCACGGCTTTTCTCTGACCTCACACAAATCCTGCAGTGGGGTCCCTGTCCCTAGGGTCCCTCACAGGCCTGGGCAAAGGTCCCAGGACAACTTTTTGGCCAGGCAGGTGCCACCCTCTGCAGCCACTGTGCTTCAGAGGAGCCTGGTGCCAGCCCCTGCTTCCTCAGGGGAGGTGAACACCCTCTCCACACCATGCTCAGCACTGGACTGGGCAACTCCTTCCCTCCAGGAACAGCCCTGGGACCCCACTCTGCTTGTGCCACACCTCAAAGATGTCCTGCAGCTCCTTGCTGACCCTGGAGACAGGAAAGCTGAGCACCACTGTCCTCAGCATTGTGTCCATGGATTTCAGGGTCTGCAAACACAACACAGAGCACTGCCTGCCCTTCTGCTGCTCTTTCCCCCTTGCCCAGGAGACTGATCTGAACTCTCAGTGCCTGAGGAGGACACCTGGACTGCCCAGGAGAGACACGGGGATGCACAGACTGCTGGGGACAGAGCAGCCAGGCCCATGGGAAGGGGACAGAGCCACCAGGGTGGGAAAGCAACACCAAGACCTCAGCATGGCTCAGAGCTCTGGTCATGGGGCAGCACAGGGTGAGCAGGGAGCAGCCCAGAGGGACTGGAGGCTCCTGGAGCTCAGCCAGCACTTACCTTGGTGTAGAGGGCAGCACTCTGGTGGGGCATTTCCCTTTCTGAGGGAAGCAATAACACACTGGAGAAACATGCAGAGAGGAGGCTTTTGGTTTTGCCCTCCAGCACATTCTCCACCAAGCTGCAAGGACAGAGGAGGGACAGTTGGACACTGGTGCTCAGAGCAGCCCCTCCAGGCTTTGTGCAGGTGTCCTCAGAGCTCTGGGGCAGGGGGCTCACCATAATTCGTCGATGGTAATCATGGCAAGATAACGGATGTGTGAGGACAGACGGTCCTTTGGCTCCTTTTCCAGGAGATCCTGCAGAACACAACGAGGATCGACCTGGCAGCACCCAGTGCCTCCAGTCCCTGACCCACCCAAGCACTTCCCACACAGGGTGCCAGTGCCAGGGGTACTTGTGTCCATCCCCAGAACACCAGATGGGATTTGCCCATCCCTTCACCTTGATATTCTCTACCACTTCACAAGTTTGGCAGAATAAATCCAGGCCCTGGGTCAAGCCACGTTTCAAAGCAGTTTTGCACAGGACATAGATGCTCTTCAGAAATGTGAACTTGTGGGAGTCCTGCAGCCAGGGGACAGAGACACAAACAGGGAGTGTGGGAGGGTGGACACAGCCAGTGGGACTGGAGCACTGGGGGTGCAGTGCCCTGTGAGAAAGGCAGCTCTGCCCAGCCAGCACCCCCCTACAGCCCAGCAAGGCAGCAAATGCCAGCACAGCCACTGTCCAGCTGGCCACAGGTACCTTGTCAAGCCTGCTGACAAAGGCCATGATGAAATCCACAGCTTCCTCTGATTCTTCATATATTGGCAACCAGCTGGCATCTGCCAGAGGGGAAGAGCAGGGAGGGCTGCAGAGGCTCTGGGCACAGGAGAGAGCCAAGGTGATGTGCCCTCCACCCAGCCGTGTGCCCATGCCCTTGGCACAGCATTTTTCCTGAGCATCTCATGGCTGGAGGTGATGGGCAGAGGAGCTGCTCTGGTGGAGCTGGAAAGGGCCCAGTGCCCTGGGCTGGAATATGGCCAGGAAAGGTCCAGAGTCCCTCTGCTTCTCACTGCCCATGCCCTGGAGCCCCTCTGCTTTGTTTTTTTTTTCTTGGGAGAGGCTGTGCTGTGGCTGGGAGCTGCCCTGGCACTCAAGTGACCTCCTGCCTGTCCCCCAGGACCACTATTGTCATCATGCCAGGAAAACACGATCCTGGCATTGTGCTGGTGGGCCCCAGCCCTGCCCAGCCCCTCGCTCACCAAGCTGCAGTGGCTGCATGGTGGTTGTGTCGTAGAAGAACTGGGGAGGTGAAGAGTTGCTCTCCTGGGAAGTGTTGTCCTCCTCCCAGGCCTCCCTGGGGAAGGCAGGGGGTTTCTCCTCCATCCTGTGGGATGAGGATCGATGACGTGGAGGATCCTGGGGTGGGTGTTGGGTTGGTGTGGTGGGAAGATTTGGCAAAACACTCCAGCCCCACAGGGCTGCCAGGGGTGGTGGGGCAAGACATGGGCTGCACTCGGGGGCTCCTTGTCAGCTCCAGGCTCCTGCCTGTCACCATCCACCGTGGGCAGCAGCCAGGCTGACCAGGCTGCAGTGGGGTGTCACAAAGGGCCCTGCTGTGACACAGCACCTGCCCCTAACAATGGGTCTCGGTGCTTGCTGGCATGGGACCTGTCCCCAGCAATGGTCCCAGTGACCCACCACCCAGGCAGGGAAGGGCAGGGTGTCCCCCAGGGCACAGGCCTGGCATAGCCCTGGGCACCTGGATGCTCTCAGAGTGCCTCCAGACCCCACTTTACCCTCACATCCCCTCGGGACATCCCTGGTGCCCTGCAGTGCATCCCAGAGCCCGTGTTCAGACACTCCCATGTGCCTTCAGGACATCCCTTTCCTTTGAGGATACTGCAGAGCCCAGCCTCTCAGTAGCAGTGATGGGTGGAGGATGGCAACCAGCAGGATAAAACTCTAAGGGTCATGGTCATGCTGGGAGCTGTTGGCCTCTGGTCCAGCCCAGCTGAGCAGCCACAGCTGGTGCAGGTGCTGTGGGGACTGTGGCAAACTGGGGCCTCTAGGGCACATCAACAGGCCCCAGTTTGCCCCCTGATCCCTGCAGCACCCCTCTATCAGCCTCCTTGCACCCTTAGGAGCCCTTCCTTGACCCTCATGTTGCACAGAAGCCACAGTTTGCCCTTCCTGGGGCCAGGAGAGGCCCCTCAGACACAGTCCAACCCCAGGACTCCTCCATCTGCCCAGCAGGTGTCTTCAGATCAGTCTAGAGCACTGAATCACAGAATCATTAAGTTTGGAAAAGACCCCCCAGATCATCAAGTCCAACCTCTGACCAATCATCACCTTGTTGATTAAACCAAAGCACTGAGTGCCACATCCAGTCATTCCTTGAATGCCTCCAGGGACAGCGACTCCTGTCCAAAGCCTGACAAATGTTTCCATAAAGAAATTCTTCCTGATGATCACACATGGACATCTCCTGAGGCCTTCAGTGCACCCCTGGCCGCCCTGCAGAAATGGCCCAGGGTGGGGGGCTTGCAACACTGGACTGCACAAAAACACTTTATTCTCCTCAGCAATCCCCCAGAGCTGTTGGTTATGTCCCAGAGCCTTCTCCTGTCCCCTCCTGAGGCACTCCTGGTGAGGAAGGCATTCTGTCTGCCCCTGAGCCCCCCTAGGACCCTGAAGCTGCCCTCTAAACACTCAGTGCAGGGT